GGGCCACCAACACCCCCTTTTTGGGGACACGGGCCACCTTCCTCCTTGGGGACATGTGTCACCAGGGTGTCATGTCCCCCCCCCCGGGTGCCAGCGCAGCACTTTGGGGGAGGAAGTGGCTTTGGGTGGGGTGGAGACCGGGAACAGCCACCCGGGCTGTGACACTGGGGACATGGGGGGGGGTCTCTGTGTCCCCAGGGGGGACAGGGGACACTTCTGTGTCCCCAGAGACCAGACCAATGTCTCCAGGGGGACAGGGGACATCCCAGTGTCCCCAAGAACCAGCCCTGGTGACCCCAAGGAGATAAGGGAGACACTGGTGTCCTCAAGGGGACAAGGGACAACCTGGGGTCCCCAAGGACCAGTCTCATTGTCCCCAGAGAGACAGGGGACACCCCAAGACCCCAGGAGGGACAAGGGACAGGCTTCAGGGACACCAACTGTCCCCTTGAAAGCCCCCAAGGGGCCCAGAGGGGACAGTGCCACTACAGAGGGACAGGAGCCACTCCAGGGTGTCCCCAAACCCCCAGTTGAGGGACACCAGGAGGGACAAGGACCAGCCTGAATGTCCCCAAGGCCACCAAAGGGGACAAGGGACAGTGGTGAAAGACACGGATGGGCCCTGATGTCCCCAAGAGTGGCCAAGGGCCATCAGGAGGGACAAGACACGGGGTGAGGGACACAAAGTGACCCCCAGTGTCCCCAGCAGAGACCACCGAGAGGACCTTGGGCCAACCCCAGTGTCCCCAAGGGTGGCCAAAGGCCATTGGGAGGGAGAAGGGACCGTGTCTGGGGACCCAACCCAGCCCCTGGGTGTCCCCAGCCCCGTTCCCCAACGAGCCAGGGCCACCAGGAGGGTCAGGAGATGGTTTATTGTGACATTAACCACCTGGAGTGTCCCCGAGACACCAAGGGCCACCACGAGGGAGAAGGGACCAAAACACCTCTGGTGTCCCCAAGGAGGGACAGGGCACCCCAAAGCAGGCCCTGGGTGTCCCACTACCCCCCAGATGAGAGCTGAGGCCACCAGAAGGAGCAAGGAACAGTGTCCAGGGATATGAAAGGACCCCAGGAGAGACTGAGGGCCACCAGGAGGGACATGGGACAGTATAAAGGGACCCAAAACCATCTCCAGTGTCCTCAAGGGCGGGCAAGGGTCATCAGGGAAGTCACGGGACAGAGATGAGGGACCAAAACTAGCTCTAATGTCCCCAAGGGTGGCCAAGAACCATCACAAGGACCGAGGGGGGCAGCAGGGAAGGACCCAAACCACTTCCAAGTGCCCCCAAGCTTGGCCAAGGGCCACCAGGAAGGACCAGGGATGGTTGCTGAGGGACCCCAACCACCCCCAGTGTCCCCAGGGGCCATCAGGAAGGACCAGGGATGGTGCTGAGGGACCCCAACCACCCCCAGCGTCCCCAGGGGCCATCAGGAAGGAGCAGGGACGGGGCTGAGGGACCCCAACCACCCCCAGTGACCCCAGGGGCCATCAGGAAGGAGCAGGGATGGTGCTGAGGGACCCCAACCACCCCCAGTGTCCCCAGGGGCCATCAGGAAGGAGCAGGGATGGTGCTGAGGGACCCCAACCACCCCCAGTGTCCAGGAAGGAGCAGGGGGGTGTCCCACACCCCTCAGGAAGCCCAGGGGATGGTGCTGAGGACCCAGCGCCCGCGCTCAGCGCCCCTCCAGGCTCTTGTCGCGGGCGATCACGGCCTCCTCGAACTTGATCATGAGGGTGGTCCCCTTGTGCCAGTGGGCCGTGACCTTGGCGGGGAAGCCGCTGGCGCCCCGAACGGCCTCCCCCACCCCGGC